TCTAAGTGCATATTCAGAAAACACAGTCTAGGGTCACAGCACCAAGATGTTACAGTGCGACGACGGATATCATGATCCAAACCGGTTATCGGAAAACATGGAAACGAGTCCCTATCATCCCTATAGCTTGGAGCTCCTGTCACAGAGGAAAACTAATTGATTAGATGTACATGGTCAAAAATGCCTCACCAATGCGCACTGGAGATCGAAACAGATCCTAAGGTCTGAGAACACGGCCACTGCAGCTCTTCTTAGAGCCTAAGAGAATGAAAACCTGTAAGCAACGTCCTCCATTCACGCCCGTCAGTAGCTTCAGGGCACGCACTATCCATATCAAAAATGTGTTGAACTTCCAGTGCACGCAGGAAGTTCATGCCTCTTTAATCCTTCATATAAATGTGGGCAAATTTGTATGAGAGACCACTCAGTTTAATTTGAAATGAACTGTTCAGTTGGCCTACCTTTCTGTGATTCTTGCTTTCCGGGAACAGAAGTTTTGACCTGCCAAAGGAATGGTGAATTTGCGTAGAATCTCAGCAACCTCTGTAATCACAATTGTTATGTCATAAAAAGTCATTGATACCCGGAATCGTGGCTGGTGATCTCTCTGCTGAGCAAACTTCTTCTGAGGTGGGAACAGTTCCAAATTCTAATGGAAACAAAGTTCTTTCAAGCAGTGCTATGCGGTTAAATAAGGTTTAAGATTTTTGAAAAAAAACATACATCAAACATATATTTGATCGTACAATATATTATTCATGTTTTCAGTCGAAGATTTATCATTAACTAGTAATTGACCGGTGGTCAAAAGCCTTGGATCTTTGGTACAAACGGACCGTGCTTGTTGATAATCATTATCACTGTACCTCTCAGGAAATGTTTTGGGAATAATGAAGTCAGTAGCCTAAGGCCACGAGCCGTTGCATGACCATGGTTTGAGATGATACAGTGCTTCCACTTACCTGTCATGCAATTCACATTAAACATCCTGGTTTTGACGAAATCCTCGATTTAAAAAATCTCTGATTATTAAACACCACCACTTGGGAGATTTTTTCTCTTGCCAGTCTGCTGGTTAACGACACTGATATGTTCCCCATAAATTAATCCTTTTAGGGGAAAAGGATATCGAAACGACCGCTTTCAAGGGAATTTCAGAGGTTACCTTGACTGAAAAAGAAATTCTTTTCACTTAGGTGGAGGATTATTGATTGAAAATCCCACACTGCTTAGTCCTAACATCAAAATGACTTTGCTATGGTGATTAGAAAACGTGAACACAATGATCACAGCAGGAACACTTTCGGACCAGAATATCCTATTCACAAAATTGTTGAATGAATTATGTAAGATACGTAAAAATTCATTTATCTACACCCAAAAATATCGCATTCGTGGTAGGATTCAGGTAAATCACACATGCTGTCTTCGGATGGTCAGTACGTAAGAAAAGCAATAGCTTGTCTGCGATTATTGGTTGTCGATCAGGTGGCCGTTTATATACTACTAGAAGTTGGAATCGTTTCGTCACCAGACCACAAAATATCTTCGTTACACTTTTGAGTTGGAACTTACTCGCTTCAGACTGCTGAAAAATCCGCACCAGTAATTTTTGGGGTGATTGTCTAACTAAGTGACAGCGTTGGAGCGCATCCATCGATCCGAATGTGATTTACATCGCGTTGTGGATTACCGTCCTTTCTTTTGACTGGTTATCCCGGTTTCCTCTGTGTCTGGTGATCTTCTTTAATTGTTCAAGCTCCCAAAACGAATTCTTTGGATTCAGCTTTGAATGCAGCCTCTTCATCAGTTAGCCAACTTGCTTTTCATTGATCGAGCTCAGCCACTTCATGCACATAACAGCGACCAGTTTCGTTCCTGTTAACTTCCTGTCATGTCCACTGTAGAACGCGCTCTCAGATTATTTAACAATAAGTGGGGCTAATTGGCTCTCGTTTCACTGCCTAGACCTTTCTGCTTCCCGAATCCAACCCAAACTAATTTCGCGTTGGAACATTTGAACTAGCTGTGACTCATCGTGTAAAGCGTTCATGGCAATTAATGTGGCCGTGTCTAGAAGGTGTCTAGAAATGCATCGTGTTTTGCTGTTCAACAGCTTATGGGTTGCAACTGATTCCATACACAATCATTCCACAAAATTTCCGCGAAGTGAGAGATCTCTCCAAGGACTTTGGCAAATGGTCTTTGGGTTTCGATCAGGGTGTAGCGTGAGTAACGGTATCTTATTTGCCCATTTTGAGGTTCCCGTAGAAGACAATACAGTAAACTGTGGAATGAAATGGCGACAGGACTGCGCCCCTGAAAAAACTCAAACCAAATTTACCAGCCGCACAAACTGGCCGGCGGAAGCTACAGCTGAAAACTTGGAACTACCGGTCAAAAAGAGTCACAAATTCGCTCCTTCTCAACACACCAGATGAGTCTTAATAAAGACGAAATTGCTAGTACCAGTGAGGACTTGGACTTCCAACTGCAACTTCGTATTAAACAATGACGACACTGAAAGCACAAGATCAATTGAAAACTGTCTACTTAAACAGCCCAGATCAGTGTCAAAATTAGGTTCGGATTTATGCGCTAATACTCACAGTGATGGTTTATGTAGTAATTTTTTATTACTTAGACGTAAAACATGAGAACTGAACCCACTAGGTAACTTTTCAAGAACTTAGTACGTTTTAGATTGGCATTCTTTTTGCGTGGTGTATTCACGTTCACTTGCATTTTAAATGGCTATTATGAACACTATCAGGCTATTATGGCACTATAAGGATGACCGGCATCGTTCATATTGGTGTTTAGTATTTTTCCTCTGAATGAAACGAAAAAGTACTCCTGTTTTCTTCGAGGATGCACCACCATCATTTGTAAGATTCTTGCCGGAAATCAAAAAGTTGTTTCCGTATGTGAGACACTTTTGAAACGTTTGGAAGTGCACTGAGAAAACCCCTTTTATCTAGCATATGTTTGTTTCAGCCGACTCCATCTGGAAACATCGAAAAGATGTTTGAAGACATCCGGAACTGAACGAATTACGCAACAAGCACCAGGGAACATATTTAAGGAGACGAACTCATTTATGAAGAACACTCATTAGATGAAAGTTTTTGGGTGTTTCGCCTAAAGGGGAGCCGTTTTCCTAACCGAGCCTGAAATTCCGATGGGTTAAGGTGACCTCATACCAAGAGCTTTTAAGGTCATACAACGAACGCAGGGCGTCTCCATTAGTCCCGCACAGTCTTGGTTACCGCTATCGTAAATGTCTATGTTCGCAAACAAATGGAAGGTCTCTGCTCTCTCACATGGCGATGTGAAACTTTCGGAATGGAAATAGTGAAAATGCCCATTTTTCAACACTTACATTGTCTTTAGCGTTACAGTGATCTACAGAGGTAAATGAATTATAAGGAATACGCGGTAGCAAAAAATCCTACAAAGCGTCTAAATAACCGGATGTTTGCGCATCGTTCGAAGGTGGCGGATAACAAGCGCCTTTATACGAACTCATTTGGGACTCACCGACTTCGAATGCAGAAAACATCAAAATAATGACCAGAAACTTTGCCGCCTGAAACATTCTTCAGTCCTTCCCCGGTCTCCTGAGACATCACTGTAGATTCGTCCATTTTATAATATTTTCTTCCTGGCATAATTCTAGGTTGCTCCGGCCAATTAGAACACGCCATTATAGACATTTTCACGCACTGTTCACAATAGAATCAACAACAAGAAGTTGTTTTCGTTGTAACTCCTCCCAAGGACTGGTGACAAAAATACATTGTTCCTTCTGTCGTAATTTGCTGGAAGAAATTTGTTGTCAACCCTAGACTGCCGAACCTTCTCAAGTTAATAATCGAAGCACACAGTGTACTATATAACTTTCATTTGAAAACGACTGTGAAATTAAATAAGAAATATGGAAGTAGTGTTAGACTACCTCATGTTAGTGAGGGAGAAGTTTAATTTCACAGAAACTTCAGCCCCAAATTAAAATGTAGCTAGCAATTGTGATCTCTCTTAGTCGAAGCTACTTTACTTGACCAAGGTTTAGGACTGAAGTATGAAATCCAGAAACGCAGTGGTCAAACTAGGTATCATGGTATTAGGTTTTCCTCACTCCACATCTGCGAAAATGCATTTGACAAATGCGTGCTTTTCAACAGGTAATGCCCGAAAGATATCGATACCGGAGATATTGCACGAATACGTAATTTCATTAGATTTGGGGCTTAAAAAGCTCTTAGGGGAATGCATCTTAATTGGAAGCGATTAACCGTTAAAAAACGCATCCCTAAGCGACCGAATAAAATAAGTCCAAGCGTATCGAGTGGTTTGTCGGAAGTTTCATAGCTTTAAGGAACGGTTTTCTTTGGTCAGACCGGATGAATTTATTCAGCTCTGCACATATCGTTTTCCAACAGAAAAGAGGCAAAGTAGATTGAACCCGCAAGCCTTTCTTCCGTTGGCCGAACGTAGTGTGTGAGCCCTTCCAGAAGGGTCATCTTTGATATTGAACAAAGGGAGGTTTACCGCGTGAAGCCTAATGATACGCGTGAAGCCTAAAGATACTTTCATCCCTTAAATACATGGTTTCAGATGACTGATCAGTGTAAGGAATACACACATCATTTGGCTGCCCCTGCTTGAAGACAGGATCTTAATAGTGGGTGGAGGTTGATTTCGACTACACTTAAGGCAGGAAATTGAGTGATCTCACTGAGCGACTGGATGCTTCACTCGCTATAATCTAGGGAAGTTCTGTTTAGGCAATAGATGCAAGAATGATGTAAAACAAAACCCTGAATCCACAACCTGCAAATGTGGGTCCGACGCGAGCTTTCAACATCAAAATTGAAACTTTAGATGGAATCCGAAGAGTGGTTCATTTTCTGGATTCATTTGCTCTCGGTCGTCCTGCGAATTTCCTGTTCAGGACTGTAAGTCTTACACTGGAATTGACGGCTCCATTCTAGGAGAAAATGGAGTTGTCGACAGAGGAGGAAGAGACCGCACACTGGTCCACAAACTGCCCGGCCGATGCTCAAGGCGGCTTAAAAAACCGACCCATGGACATCAAAATACAAACAGACGAGCTTTACTCAAAGCAATGGGAGCTGATCATAGTCATCAAGGTCGACCAGTACACCTGGGCACTGGTTGCGCGAGTGGAACTCTAGACTGAGTTGTCAAAAACACTGGATTTTAGGAGGCATCTTACCAGATTAGAATCTTACGCCAGATTAGAATATTCGGCCTACCAGGGTGTTACTCTGTGTGGAGAACCATGGCAAGCAATACTAGGACGGCTAAGCAGAAAATCTGATGGCAGGCTAATTAAAGAAACAGATGCTCCACTCTCAGAAACCGCCACAGAAGTGACAAAACAGGGACCAACTTATGTGATGTCAGGAAATCAAAAGACAAATGGACAAATTCATTCAATTCCATGATACTGTTCTAGACAGCTCTGCTGAATTACAATCATGGAACCACACATACTTGTAAGACAGCCTGAACCGTTTCGATTGAGGCGGCCGTCTTGCCCGTGGGTTGGTTTAGTGACTTAAGTTTTATCATCTAACTGTGATCTAGTTCTTAGACATCTTTGCAATGAAATAATTGAACCTTCTTCCAAGGAAACCACCAGCATTTGAGAATATCATGAAAATTTCGAGTGGGTATACAGCTCCTCCATGCTGCAACGAATGCTTATCTGCACTCACATTTTGTAGTCGTTCTTGCTCAGCAGGAAATGTTCTGAATGTGAATTCTTGTGGCTCTTTCACGAGACCTCTGGTCCTATGTAGAACTGAGGTTCAAGCCACTAACTATTATATGTTTTAAGCACCTTTGCTTGATTCGTCGCGATGTTGTTTGATAGCGCTAAGCGATGGCTTATCAGGCCACACCATCAATCACAATCGAATCGAAGGGTACAGTAGTAAGAAGTTAGTTCTTTTATGATTACATGAACATGACAGAACACTTACGCAGCACCAGACACCAGCTTCCAAAGTTTAGATACCAAATACTTCAAATGGTAAGTCAGGTGACACAGTATCATCGGTAGACCTAGTGGCCAAGAATGTTAACACTCCAAACTCATAAGTAAGTGTCTCTAAAAAAAGTCGCAAGAGGACTTCCAGGGTAAGATTTTCTAGTTCCCCCTATCAGAATTATTTCACGTGCTGGAAGTTCCCGAGTCACTTATTCAACTCAAAATTTGTCGAACCCGCGACCTTAGTTTGAGAAATTGGACGCTTAGTCTTTCGACCACGAGTGGTTGAACGGTTGTATATGATCAGCTCTCGATCGGAACACAGTGACGCTCATTCTTTGGTCAAACAAAACATATTATGTAATCAAATGTGTTGACTGACTTTTCGGGTCGACAATTCTACGACCGAATCTTTTGTCATGTGAAGCACCTTAGATTGAGGAGAATTGGTAAACCAATGGACCAGTCCAGTAGTATACTTGGCTGATGTTCCAGCCCGTCTGATATAGCGTTCAGAAGCGCACATCCAGGACCCTAGAAGTTGTACGTGACAATGTTCGTGAAAAGATCAAGCGATATTTGAGGTAGTAATGAATAAATCATGAAGCTCACATAATTTGCGTCTCCAAATATCCATGCAGAGCATTTGTTCCACTATTATGGGGGTTACGTAACACTGTGTAGACAGTACCTAAACTGGAATTAGCCGTAAGTTTAATGCCGAGCATGCTACGTGACGTCACGTGATTAGCTGTCGAATTTCCGCTGGATCCTTTACCGAACTCCGTAGGAGCATTTATCACTCGAAGAAGTTAGCTCTGAATTAAGGTCATAGTACAAAACTTGGACAAAGCCTATGCCTGTAACTGGTTAGAAGATACATAGAAACGATGGGTTCTGTAGCTAACTTTTCAGCAAGCGACGATACTTGTTATCCTGTGCTTGTGCTATGTCCGGCAGCGTACATGTACTCTCCGGGTTGCAGGTGGAATATGTACGATTTTCCATGCTTCTGTACTTTCCAGGAAGACATCCGACTTTGCAAGGTTTGCCACCAAACTCAATTATTCAATGCACTTAGGGTTTACGAAACACGGGGCTTGTCGGTTTTCATTCTCTGCAACGATCTGGCGAAGCGCAAGTGGCCAGTTTAATGTGACCTTGGCGACAAGGTCACGCTAGTATGATAGCATGTTTCGGTTGGCTTGGAATTTCCACACTCATCTTCTGATTTGCATTCATGAAATATTAACGTTTTATTTCTCAGTCACTAACTGCAAGCTGGCAAAAAGGATACTCAGTTTAGTCTTACTGAAAATGAGAAGGAGTTAGATGAGAGATATGGTCTACATTCGCCTGAGATCCTGTACCATGCAACTAATGGTCACTATTGCAGAATGGATTCGATTCGAAAGGGAGGCAATCATATTTGAGGCCTAATTTCTCAAAACTTACAAATCCTTCAGAGTGTTTGCACTGGTTGCGTCGATCGACTCCTCAGTTGGTCAAGAATATATATGAACGAATGATCCTCTAAGTATCACCAACAAAGGGAAAATTCCTATGCGAAAGTCCTTCTAACAGCATGCTTATTCGGTCAACGCAGCATCTCTGGAATGTATCCACAATCTGATCAGTATTCGGCTTTCAGCTCGACTCCCTAAACCAACGTATCGATCACATACAGTAAGAAGATAAAAGTTGATGTGCTTTTTGGGCATTCAGGACAGACGCATACATCTTTTGAGTGCAAGCTTGTTTACTGATTGCCGTGCAAAAACGTCTCTAAAAGAGTAATTTTGTCGGAGACATCGCCTAGGTGATGACGGTGTAAGTCCATCTTCACCAAATTGATCGTTAATTTGGGCTTAAAATTAATCCGAATGCAACAGTTTACTCCACAAAATAACATGACGTCGATTTGAAGAGTACTGTGTGAAGTCAGTTGTCATATACTCAGGAAACGGTGCCAAATGAAACCTAGGATAACGTTTGAATTTTAACTTGTTTGCGTGTAGGTCTTGGCAAAATGAGATTCGATTGGCATACAACTTAGGAAAGCACTTGAAAATCCAAGCAGTCTCGAAGCAGTTACGTGACAATGGAGATCCTACGTACAAACCAACACAATGTTTTCTTGTGAGATTTGCTAGGCATGTAGGTCACGGTAAATAGCGTTACATCAGAATGGTAATATTTGGTGAGATAGCTGAGCCGGTAAAAAAATATTGTTTTGTGAATATCCCGGAGGGGCAATCAAACTTTTAGCTCTCGATAAAGCATCAGCGGCATTTCCCTGACACATTGGAGGGGCACATTCTTACCCGCATATGAGGGAAGCGCGGTGAGGAATTGAATGGTGTCACTGGAAACCCAATCTCCGAATTTCGCTCCAACTTTTCAAAAAGCCCTCAGATTTCCATACAGAAACTACACTTACCTTAAGCTAACATGTGTGAATTCATAGATAACAGGCAGATGAGGTTTTGCTTGATGCTAGCTAGGGTAATGCAAATTTTTTTTGCGTTCTCTGAAAAGCTTCGTACAATCCAACACCAAAGTACTGCTCACCACGCCCAGTAAAGCAGTAATTCATTAATATTCCTAATTGGGCAAATCAAACAGAAGACTGACGTCATGCCCACAATCTGTCTAACTTGCATATTTACGCTACCCATGTAAGATGGGTTTATTTTTATAACACCACTTCGGAGTGACAAACCGGTAACCGACACGGTCAAGGTTAAAATTTGCTCCGGGCTTGTAATGGCTCGTACGGTGATCAGTGTTTCAGACCATTCAGACACAGTTCATCACTGTCCAGGATGTCTGTGTATGTAGCGGTCTCGTGCGCACGGAAGTTCATCCAACTACTCCGGGAAAATTGAAACCTGAAGGACAACAAAATATAACATCTAAAAACTTTTATACGGTGAGCGATTTGTTACATTCGAAATCCGAAATAACATATCCGTGTCTTCAAAGGGGGGAATAGCAAGTAAGTGTACTTGTTAGCTTCTAACATCAATATCGAGCTCGCATATTCCGAGTTGCTTCCAATGACATTATCGAATGTACAGTCATTGGCCAGCCTTCTCCAACTCGTTGCTTTTCACACTGCCAAAATGTTGCTGTATAAACTTGCGTCGTAGCTTCGACATCAAACTCTGTCTAAATAAAAACCTTAAAAAAATTAAAAATAAAAACCCAACACACACACAAGAGAAATATTCGAAGGAGTGACCATAATCTTGTCAAGAACGTGTGTGGGTCATTCACGCGAAACACCTCACAGGCTCTGAACACACTTGCATAAAGACTCAATCGGTTTCGGTTGGGACGAGGTCACTACCATGACTAAATAGACATCATGAGCTTACTAACATAATATTTTCTGACGCGGGGCATGACCGTTGTAACGAGGTGACCAATCGCTTCCCGATTTCGAGCTTTGATGAGAGAGCTCGACGTAGGAATCATGTGGTATTTCGATGCGACTTAACGTATACATACTTCTGTGGTATAGCGATCTTCAGGTACAAGCGGATCTTATGACATGTAAGAAAATTACATGGATATTCCAGACAAATTAATGTAAATAAACACATCGCGTGCACTGTCTATATGTGAAGAGGTCACTCGAGTTTGTTCTCAACACTTGATTAAATAAAATGAATTCCATCGGTAAATGCTGGGCAGCGCTATGCACATTCTAACAGTGGGTTAATCATACTGTTGGCAGCCGTTCTCAGCTGAGTGGTTGACTGTGGACCCGGGTTCGCAGGTTGGAAAGCCCCTGGTATTTCATATGGCGATTACTACTGAGAAACCCCAATAAAGGCAAGCTGTGCTGCTCGACATTTTGTAGAGACATAATTTACTGCTGTCTTCTCAGGTAAATTGCTGAATAAATTGACCCACCGATTAGTTTCACGGAATCTGTGTATTTTTAAGAGAACTGAAAACCCTTGATTTCCGGCTCGTATCAACTTCCAACAGGATTGGGTTACCTAAACTTCAAGTAGGCACAAATACAACATATTCGTCACCGTATATATATATATATATATATATATATATATATATATATATATATAGAGAGGAGTGTGTG